GGATCCTTAACATTTAATGTAGCTTCCCCACTCCCGCAGGGCTCCCGCCTGGGTAAGATCACTCCTGTTTACATTCATCAAATGCCAAATACAGTTTCCCCACACCCCAAACGGGAGATGTCTGCGGGATCACCGGCACTAGCATGCCGCACTAACTCCAGATGAATATTGACTTTTTAATGACAAACGCTCTAATACAAATACCAACGGATGCAATGCGGGCCCGGGCAGACAGCTGAAGGGGGCCGGCATGCCTGTTATTCAGCAAATGAATTATTTGATTCCCCTTCCCTGCAGCATGCTGTCTGCTAGGAAATTTTCATTTGGTCTCTCTAACTCGAGAACCAATTGTAAATGTCAGCACTAAACGCTCAGATTTAAGTGTTAGGTTGTCTTGTTTGATTATGGCACTAAAAGGTCAGAGCCAACTAATGGAAAGTACAAGCGGTATCGGGAGGGAAACAGTGTTCTGCCATGGGTGAGCAAACGCCTAGGGATAACCTAATCACTCTTCTCACAGCATCTCTCTCTTCCCTCTCCGGCTCCTTCATTCAGGGCTTTTTTCCAGGTCTTAGGACCTGGAAAAGCCATTTCTAGGGAAAATTCCCACTTGTGACAGGGATGCTGACAGCGTCGGCTTTCCCCACAGAGGAAACGAAAAGCTCACTTCTCCACATCCTGCCCGGATTTGCTCCCAAAGGGCAAGGGATGGCACGAGAGCCAGGCTGCTGCCAACCTCGATGCCATCACCCATTTCTCTCCATGCATGGCTCAGGCTGGCATCAAAGTGTTTTGGGTGCCAATGCCCCTGTGCCTCCATTTCCGTCCCCATTTTGGCCCCCCTCTGGCAACCAGCATCCCAAGAGCTCAACATAGAGAGCAAAATATGACTTTTTTCCTCCTCCTTTCCATTTGCCATCCATTTCCCGACACTCGCAGCACCTTTAATATCCCCTTTCCCTGAGCTGTTTCAGTCATGGTGGCCAAATAAAACTACAGTTGCCTTAAAGTGACTCAGCTGAGGAAATCTGCTTTTTATCTGAGCTCATTATCACCATTCCAGGTCTATAAGCCAAGTTCATTATATTTATTTTAAAGCCACTTTCAAAAATATTAGTCCTTCTGCCATAAAAGTGCCTGGCAGACTAAAACCCCAATGAGCTGTTATTCCTCCCCGGGGAACAGTGTGCTGTAGTCCCAAGCAGGAGTGTTCATCACTCCATACAGATGCTGTTCTGCACCGGGAACCAGTCCCTACTGCTAACCCCGAAACCTTCCCTGGGCAGAGAAATTCAGTGCCAATTCCGGATGTCAGAATGTTTCTAGACATTTACATCAATGAGAATAGGGAATTTTAGGAAAATGAGGAGTTTTAAGGAAATAATCGCAGTGTTTCTTCCCCAAGACTTTGGGGTCTGATGAGCACTGGCCTCAATCCTTCAGCACCAGCCTGAAAAATAACCACCATCCCTGGGATGCTCATACCACCTCTCTGGACATCTTCCCAGGAATCGAAGATGTTGCTGGACTTAGGGAGAGATCTCCAGCTGCCACGGGCTCCTCTTGGTGAGGCAGTTTCTATCCTCTCTTTCTGGGTGGTTTATCTTACAAGGTCTCACATCACTCAGAGAAATAAGAGACAGTTGTCTTATTCACAGCCCCTTTGCAAGAACATCCTTGGGGAAGGGGTCCCATTAAGCAGAGGATGGTGCCAGAAGAGTGAAGAGGCTGAGAAACCACCATAAAATACACGAGGGGAAAAATATCCTCACCCCATCAACCACATAAAATGCAAAGAAATCAAAGAAAAGAAATACCCATCTCCAAACTGAGCCATCTCTTTCATAGCCCAGGCATAGAGCGGGACAGTCTGCCTGAGCTGCGCTGGTGAAGTCCAGGCAGTTTGTGGTCTATAAGATTAATAGGAAATCTGCTCTGGATTGGGAGTGATTCCCTCTTTTATTGGAATGAACCCCAAAGAGTAATGGCTGTAGGGCAGGAAGAGGAAGGTAAATTGCAGTAATAATGTGTTTCCTTGTGCAGACATGCTTTTGATCATAGAAAAATACACCATCTGTTTCTAAATTACTTGTTGTATTGATTTAACAGTTAGTAACGTGGGGTTTTTTTTCTTTTTTTCTTTTGCAAATCCATTTTGCAAGGTCTCCTGGAAATCTGACAGTTATGTGCAATAAAAAGTACGGGCTTGTTCATCATAAAAGATTACTGCTGCCAGCCATAGGGCTCTGCACGGGGAGGAATGGGCTGTACCCGCATGGGCTCCTCGAGCCTCCTCCCCTCCAGCACCCTGTCCTGCCAAGAGCTGAGCAGTTAAGTGCTTATGCACCCCATAAGAACTATTTCTTTACACCAAATAACCTGTTCCCATGCCTTCTCCCTGCTCAAACCACATGCACCTCACTGCCCTTGTTGCTTTGTGTTTTTATTGCTTTCCTTCCATTTTTTGCAGCTTATGCCCGGCTTCTCCCCCTGCACCCCAAAGGCTGCAACGGCATCAGGGTCCCTGCACCTGGGAGTGGTTCTGCACATGGCAAACCATGTGTGTCCCCCAAACACCTCCCCCAGGATGCACACCTTCGCAGGGGCTGCCTCCTCCCAGCCCCAGTAACTGCACCCATCCTCATCTGCCAGGGACCAGCTCATCTTCATTAGGCAAATCATTAATTTCCCAGTGGTGCACTGAGATTCACTCTAAGCAGAGCAGAAGCCCTGCAGCTCTCAGCCTCCTTGCCTGAAAGTGCCACCTCTGCATAAGCACCCAAGGAGCAGCACTCTACACCCACAGCCGATCCGGGGAAAGAGGGATTCCCTCTCTCAAACAAGGCTCCGAAGGGAATGCCCGCTGCAGCCCGGCCAGCAACGCTGCAACACACCCCACTGCTCTGATCAGTGCTGTGCCGGGGATGACTCCATACAGCGCAACAGGATGCCTGACTTATCATGAAAAATTATATTATTTTGCTGCTAATTAGTTGTTATTATTCAGCCTACACTCTTGAGCGTTAGCCTTCTCCCTTAACGGCTTTCCTGGGAGACTCCAGGCTCCCCCATGTACAGGGCCAGGACAAAAGGAGGTTAACCCAGAATTTGTCACTGTGCAGCGATGCAAATGCGGCCCTTTCCCGTCCCGGTGTCGCTGTGTGAGTGCAGACTCTGGGCCGAGAGCTCTACGCTGAGAGCTCTGCTCCTGCCACTGACAAGGGGCACTGGATGAGCGCATCACGCAAGCCGGTAGAAACGCGTCAGCAAATCACACCTCTCATTAAACCACGCCGACAGGTTCCGGCACCGGCGCAGCACGTTCCCTGAGGAGACGGGGTGGGGGGACCCTTGGGTGGCTGACAGCTCTCCCCAAGCTCCCAGAGATCCCTCAAGGACCAGTGTCTCCACACAGCCTTGGTGCTTCGTGTTGGGCATCTGCAAGGACAGGCTGCATCACCGGAGCACAGAGACACATCAGTTCCGGGAGGTTTTCCCAGGGAACCTGGCCATTTCTGGACATCCTCCATAGCTCACCCACAGCAGCTGCCGCCACAGCTTTTCAGGAGAGTAAAAGGCTTTCGGTGCCGAGCCCCACACTAATAGGGATGTTCCCGGGGTAACCGTGATCGAGGTTAATCCAGAAAGCACTCGGTAAATACTGGCTGTGCTGCACATGTGCCAGGAGCCCACAGACACCATAACCACACCGCGAGGGCTGCACTCACTGCCTGACTTTTCCAGCAAGGGCGTCACGTGAAGGGAACAACATGCAAAGCCCCTGCTGCTGCTCGGGCAGGCAGCTACTTTTATGGGAAAAAGAAACATATAAAAAGCAAAACACAGAACTTTTTTGAGTTTGGAAACGATGCCCGCCCTCTGCTGAGCATCCTGCAGCACAAAGCACAGGGTATTCAAACCCACCCGGTATCACTAAAGCTGGTGCCAGCATCAGCCTGTCCCTCTCTGCTGCACCCAGCACAGTGTTGGGCACCTTAAGAGACTTTTTGTCCCCACCTGAAATCCCTGCCCCAGGGTCCTCAGCACCCCCAGACCAGCACCACCGGCTCACAGCAATGTCCCACAGCCTCCAAGCAAAAACCCTTCCTTCCCCTGGCAGAAAACATCCTGAGGCACAGCCCAGGTTATCACCCACAAACAGATCTTCTACTTCTCCAAGCAAAACCAGGAGACAGATCTTGGCTCCCACTGGTTGTGATCTGCAGTGTTTATTTGACCCCCCCAAAAAAGGCATTTTCATGCAGAATCTTTTGGTTCATAAAAGAAGTTATTTCTCAGAAGCCACCTGACAACCCTCCCCCCTAAACTGAGAAATAAAGTGACCCAGGAATTAACAAAATAAAACAAACTGTCCAACTCCAACAAAGAAAAGTGGTTCCTATCATTTGGTACAATATGGAAAAATTTGGCAAACAGAGCTGATTTGCAGTTCCCATCTCTCAAGCACTGCAGAGCTGGCTTTGGTCTCCAGCCCTCAGGTTGTCTGTCTGGGGGACAGACACGCGTCCCTGTGCTGCAGGACTTGGGGACTCTCCGGGGAGTCCAAGCCAGGCAGGCAAGAGCTGCTGCATCAGCATTTTAACTGGGCAATATAAATATAAAACATCGATACAAATGGGTTCTTTGTACAGAAAATATCATCTCACAAGGCACTGGGGTGATGACCATGTGGCCGCTCGCGGCGGGCTCCGACCAGGCTTCTCCAGCTGCCGCCTGGCATCAGGGTGGAGGAAGGAGGGGAAGAAAGGACCGGAGAAGTCCCAGTGCTGCCATCCAAGAGGGATTTCACCCCACCACTGCCCCCAAACGCCCCGGGAGTGGTTTTTCCCAGCTGGATGGTGCTTTTCCTTGGTGGGGGTGGCATGACCCCGCAGGGGCTCTGGTCTCCTTGGGATGGCTTGGGGCTGTGTTTGGCCTGGAGGGAGGTGCATAGATCGGCCGGGGGCTGGGGCAGCTCTGCCCTGCGCTCCGCTCCCTCTTCATGCCAGCAGCCCCAGCCGGGTCACCTTGGCCGAGAGGAAGGAGTGGATGATGAAGACGATGGTTTTGGGGCAGGAGTGAAGGTCCAATTGCTGCAAGAAAGGAACAGAGGGATGTTTGCAATGGGGAGGGCTGTTCCTGGAGCAGCCAGGTTTCTGCTTGCAGCAGGGAGGGCAGGGACCACACAGAGCCCCGCAAACCCCACCACAGCCTTACTGGGGCCCTGGGAAGGGCTGTGCACCGTGGGGGCTGTGCGCAGTCAGGCGTGGGTGGATGGGCCGTGCCTCATCCCCACGTGCCAGGCAGGATAGGCGCTGTGCGCAGGGTGGGTGCTGTGCTCCCCCTCTCCCCTCGGGGCCGGTGGGGGCATGGGTACGGAGTGGCGAGGGTAAAGCCAACTCACAATCTCTCCCTCTGGGCCGCCAAAGTCCAGGTAGAGCATCTTGGTGCCGTCATCAGAGGACATCTGCAGCTTCTCGAAGGGCTGCTGGAGCAGGATGGTCTTGCTGAGCCCGGGCTCGGTGGTGGAGATGGTGAAGCCCTTGTCGATGTGGATGGACAGGGTGCAATCCTGCCCCTTCCACGTGCAGGCTGGGGACGAGGACAGGGGTGGGGCGGCAGCCAGCCACACCACTGCCCGGGTCCGTCCCCCCCCTCCCGGCCCCCCCGCTGACCTGCCGAGACCTCCTGGACCAATTCGGCGGCGCCGTGGGTGCCGTCCACCAGCAGGCGGGTCCACAGCGCCAGGTCGCGGGGGCTCTCCAGGCTGAAGAGGTGGGTCTGCACGCCCAGCCGGGTGCCGGTGCGCAACGCGAACGACAGCTCCGCCTCGTACAGCGCCGAGCCCTTGGCCGGCCCCGAGTGCACCAGCCTGCGGCACCGCCGCGCCTCAGCACCGCGCCCCGCCCCGCTCCGCGGCGGGGGCCACGCG